CCCATGAGACTCTTATCTCCAATTAACCACCAGAAAACCAGAAGTGGGGCTGTGGCTCAAGTGGTAGAGATCTACCCTTTAGCAAAAGATCACAGAGACAGTGCCCAGGCTCTGCATTCAAGCCCTACCACCACCAACAAAAACAACAAAAATGTAGAATGAAGGACTAATCCTGATTCTACTAGTTATCACTTGTAACTATGGACATGTCCTATAGCTAAATACTGCTTGTTAGGCAAAAAGTAGGAAACAAAAGCTTTGACATAAGGTCCATTAGTGTGGGATTTTTTTTTTTTTTTAGCATTCCACCACATTTTATTTTTTTATTTTTTTTTTTAAATTTAATTTAATTTTATTTGTGAACATACTGTACAGAGGAGTTACAGTTACATGGGCAGGATAATGCGTACATTTCTTACCAAGCATTGCAGCCTCCTCCTTTGTTTATCCTTCACATCCCTTCCCAGCCTCCCCCCTCCCCCCCTAATCCCAATCCTTCTCCTTCCCCCCCCCCCCCCCCCCCGCACCAACGTTGTAAAGCTCGTTTTGGACATGACAACTTGTACTTCTCATTGTTGCAACAGGTCCACCTGTATCCTTAAACAACTGGTTTTTCCCCATCTCCTCCACAAGTTATACTGACATCAAATATAGTGAAAGCAGGGGTTATACTGTGGAGGAGGGACATACAAAGCAACAAAGAGATAATCTTATAAATGTGTTAGAAACACATGCATGAAAGAAAAAAACATTAAAATACACATCTAAGGGTTCATTTTCCTGACATCACATTATCTGACCTTTTCCGCTTGACTCATACATATACTAGATATTACAAATAAGGGAAACCATGGGACCTACGTTTCTTTGGGCCTGGCTTACTTCACTTAATATAATTTTTTCCAAGTTTTTCCATTTCCTAACAAATGGGGCAATGTCATTCTTTCTGATGGAGGCATAGAATTCCATTGTGTATATATACCACATTTTCTTGATCCATTCATCTACTGAGGGGCATCTGGGTTGGTTCCATATCTTAGCTATGGTAAATAATGCTGCAATAAACATAGTTGTGCTGGTAGCTTTAGTGTGGTCTTGTTTGTGAACATTAGGGTAAATGCCCAAAAGTGGGATTGCTGGGTCATAGGGGAGCTCTATGTGAAGTCTTTTGAGGAACCTCCATACTGCTTTCCAAAATGGTTGAACAAGTTTACATTCCCACCAACAATGAAGTAAGGTTCCTTTCTGTTAGTGTGGGATTTTTTTATAACTAACTGAACTCTTCAAATTTTCTTGAAATAATTGTAGGCTCTCTGGAAATTCTAAAAAGACAACAGAAAATGGTCCTGCTATTCATTGCTCAACTTTCCTCAATGACAACATTTTGTAAAGCTTTAGTGAAAAATCACAGCCAGAATACTGCAAACTACAATTACTATTTTCCTCTCTGTACTGTTTATGTGATACTGAAGAATCAAACCCAGGGCTTCATGCATGCTAGGCAAGCACTCTACCACTAAGCCTTCCTAGCCCCCAAATAAGCTTTTTATCCTCCTTCCTTTCCTTTTTCTTTGAGACAGGTATTCTAAAGAGAACAAGAAGATCAGATGACAATGGGCTCATCCACTGATGCTTTTAAGGATTGTAAATGCCAGCACCTTGCCTAGGCACAGAGAAAGTGGTCTGTGCCACGATCCTTGTCTTCAGCAGCAGTGGCAGAAACAGCATCCATTCCTACATGGCACAAAAGATAGCCTCAACCATGCATCTACCTAATGTTAACTAGACATGGAATCAACACAGTGATAGAGAAAGTCTGGAGGAGGTAACTTACACGTGAATGTTAGAGCTGCCTCATATTTGTCAGGCTATGGAAACAGAATGGGTTCTATTAAAAATTAGGATTGGCAATCAGGCTAACTACACCATTAACCTAAACTGTGCAGTTGACCAGAGGCCCATACTTGGTCAAGTTTACAAGTCTTGATGAGGACATTCTTAGTCCATATACCTGGACCAGGAGTGAAGGAGAGAGTTGTCTGATATGAGATCAGAGACATCACCAGAAGTACTAATGACTTCATGTAAGATTGTTTACATGCATTTGCAGAACCAGAAAGGTTTTCAGTATGGTTCAACATAACATTTCTAAAGGACTGCTCTTATATGTATGAAAGATGTGTCAGCCAGCTGTTACAATTGTTCAGGAAAGAAGTTGTTAGTGGCATTTGTGATGATGGGTGGCCAGGTTTGGATACATTTGGCACCTAGAACAAGCAGGATCTGCTGCAGTATAGATGTAGGATGTGAGGAATAAAAGAGAGTCAAACAGGACTTTAAATTTTATAACCAAAAAAAAAAAAGAGTCACAGGTGTCATTTATTCAAGCAGTAAACAATGAGTAGAAAACAGGTTAAAAGTAACCTGCTGAGCTGAGATAGGTGCTAGTGGTTCACATCTGTAATCTTAGCTACTTAGGAGGCTGAGATCTTAGGATAATGGTTGGAAGCTAGCCTGGACAGGAAAGTCTGTGAGACTCTTAACTCCAATTAACCAACAAAAAGCCAGAAGTGGAGCTGTAGCTCAAGTGGTAAAGCATTAGCTAGCCTTGATGAAAACAAAAACAAAACAAAACTCAGAGACACTGCCCAGGCCCTGGGGTCACACAATTTCCAATTCAAGCCCTAGAAACTAATAAAAAAAAAAAAGAGTGCTGAGTTTAATATACTAATAAAGGCTATCCAACCCTATATCTATGACTGTTTGAATTACTAGTTAGAAGTTGTACTCTTGATAGAGAAAGGCAATAGAAAAGAATTATTTATAATAGCAAAGAAATATCTCAAAGATTCACTAATTGGAAAATGTTTATGCAAATTATTGTATACCTACTCCACAATGCTAAAGAATCATTGTAACACTATTTAAGGTGGTAACATGAAAAACATGTTTAAAATTCTGAAAGAAAAGAAATTGTACATGCTCTAACAATATTTTATAAATAAATTTGAACTTTAAAGCTGGGTGCTGGTTGCTCACACCTGTAATTCTAGCTTAGGAGGCTGAGATCGGAAGATCAGGGTTTGAAGCCAGACTGGGGCAGGAAAGTCTATGAGACATCTTCAATTTAGCACTTGAAAATCAGAAATAGTGCTGTAGCTCAGAGTGGCAGAGTGCTAGTCTTGAATGAAAAAGCTTAAGGACAGCAACCAGGCCTTGAGTGCAAGCCCCATGACAAAGACAGAGACAGACAGACAGACAGACAGAATTTGAATTTTAATGAATTTCAAAAAAGGCTGAAGTTCTAAAGTTTGGTAGAATAGAGTTCAAAGATGCTTCTATTTTCCTTCCTCTAAATTTTCCTGTTTATTTTTGAATCTATCTGTCCAAGTATATATAACCCTAAAAAACTATTATTGTTGACATTATAGTTTTTAAATTGTTTCTAACTTTGGATTCAATTAGCAGTATAGAATCAAGGAAGAAAAATTGTGAAGGCAATAGAGACACTACCCACAGTATTTATTTCTAAGGATTAGGATATAACAGGGTGGTAGTAGTGGAGAAAAAGGGCCTTTGTGTTCTCCACCAAAGAATACAGACACTGGTACTTATAATGGTTATATCTTATATTTGGTAAAGCTCCAAGCTAAAGAAGTGTCTATTAGCATCTCCTTAAGTTCTGAATATCATTATTCCCTACAAAAGTAAGAATTAAGATTAAGATGGCCATGAAAAACTATGTCCATGAAATAATTCTGAAAGAATTCGCTCAGCACTAACAAGAGAATGGCTGCATCCTCTCAGAAACCATGGAAAAAAAGTAAAAAGCACTTGGTAAAAATAAATGAAGAATTCTTATTTAGACCTCATATATTTGTAATTTTTCTAACCTATCTTCCAAATCCTTTTGTGAAGATCTTTTAATAATCACTCGTTACTAGGACTGACAATAATATTCTTTTCTTAAAAACAGTTCCTGGTGATTTTGTCAGGCCACAGAACAACATCATAATGATGTAGCGCACTGAGTAATAATTATCACCATTCTGGTAATAACCAAGGTTGAACTCTTCAAGGAAAGAGGCAAGATGACACAGCATAGATGTGTAGTTTCCCTGTTTACTAACAAAGCTAAAAGGCAGAACCTAATAATCAAAAATAAATGAAGACATCTGAAAAGAAAGCATACTTTCAACTTTACACTCAATAAACAATTATGAAGATCTCATATTTTGCATATATCTCATATATTTGCATATATGCTATGCAAAAAGGATCAATAATCAAGGAACCTATTAAACATATGAATGCTGCTAGGTAGGAAGAGTTATAGAAGAGACCAAGTGATTTGAGGGTTAAAGACTAAACAGACATCAGGGAAAAAAAGACAGCACAGGCAACATTACACAGCAGGAGGAATGAGCTTTGACAGTTATTTCCTCAACAGGCTTTGCCATTGTGAAAAAACACAAAACACTAAAGCTAAGATCAGATCTAAACTCTTCATCTAGAACAAAATCTCAGCCACCAAAAAAGTCTTCAAAACTACTGAAAGCATGTCAAAGCCTGGCAGGATGAACAATGGTTGAGGCCACAAATGAGTCTGCCATTCCTTTTGACAGTTCAAGGAAACGTACAGCCCTAAGTGGAATCAATATGATGAATGACAGAGTAACTTTAAAAGAGTTTAAAAAGAAGGAAGTAGGATAATTGGTATCATTACCTATTAAACACCTGAACAACAGGTAGATAAGAAACCCTAAAAATGCAGTAGTTATAAATAAATGTATTCAAATATGAAGAAATACAATTACCCTGTCTTAAAAAAAAGGCAGAATTACATATACACAGGGTCAGTTTGTTACTATGGAATCACATGTGATGTAATACATTTAACATTCTAAATGCAGAGCTAGACAGAGCAAGCAAGCAATGGGAAATGGAGCTGGGTAGAGGAAAACCTGCGTAACAGCAAGAGAATTACAATAATTAAAGACATGAGTCAAACATCGTTGAAACAGAAAAGGAAGGTGAGTGAGGTAAATATCCTACATTCTTACTGGGGAGCTTGGGAAATGTAAATATTAGTCCATTACTTCCCTGTGGGAATGTTCTTCTAAAACCAAATAATTTCAGATAATGGCTACATGCAGAGGAAAATGGAGGGAGGAGATGAAAAGGAAATGGAGTGGGAAAGAATAGATTAAAGCATATGGTATAAGTCAGTCTAATAAATCAGCATTTACTGAGCATGCCCATATGTTAATGGTAAGAAGTAAAAACACAATGTTTGGCTTTGAAGAATGCCAGTGCAGGAGGACCAAGTACACATAAACACAGTACAGTTCAGTGCTCAGTAAAAGGCACAGGAAAAACAGAGGGATGTTTAACTCTGGGAACTGCCCCCAGGTTACAGTGAGCTGAGTTTTGAGAAACTATTAACAGACAGTTACAAGGAAATATTCAGGATGATACAAAGGCAAATAAGGCACAAAAGACAGAGCAGTGGGCCTTCAGGTTGGAGGCAGAGAGAAGTTCATCATGAAGTTCTGTCTAACCAAGTGAATAAAATGAGTAAGATTAATTAGATTTGCACTCCATAATGAGGAGGACGGATTTGAAGTAAGGAGAATGTGAAGCCATGAAACACATTTTGAAGGCTTTATTCCAACCCACAGGTAGAAAGGAAGTGGAAGTCCAAGACCCACCAGGGCAAAATTCAAGGCCCTACCTGAAAAATAACAGAAAAGGTGAAAAAGAGCCGGAGGGGTGGCTCACAGCAGCAGAGTTCTTGGCCTAGCAAGTCAGGGCGCCTGAGTTTAAAAGGCTCAATACATTCAAACCCAGTACTGCCCCACCCCAAAATCCATTCCCAATGACCTCACGCCCAGCACAAAACAGTACAAAAGGAATTGGGTTTAAAATACCTTGAAGTTAGAAATGGCATGATATTATAGTGACTGGAAATGAGGGGAGGATACTGACAGAAAGATTTTAAAATCCATTCAAGAACCATGAAAATCACATTTCTCATCACATTTTCTTCTAATCTGGATGTCATCCTTCCTAGTGCAAGATCCAGCATGTAAATATATAAATGAATGCATGAATGCTTACGTAAAGGCCCAATAATTATCTCTTGAAGTTGAAAACATCAGTGTTTGAACAGGTTTCCATAAAGTCATCCTCTTGTCTTTATGCAGTTTTCCCTATTAGCAAAAAATCCCTTTCAGCCCTACATGCTGAAAGTAATTCCATGATAAGACCGGAAGACGTGCCTACCAATACCTCTGAATAAGATTGAGATCTATGCTTTTAAAAGCCAGACTAATACTGCTAAGGCTCAGCTACAGGTATTAAGAAATCAAAACAGCTGGGTGTGATGATACAGGCCTATAAAATCAGAACTGGAGAGGTGGAATGACTGAAGCAGGAGGGTTTTGAGCTCATCAGCCTAAGATTTGTAGTTTGATTAAAGTTAGCTTGGAACATTCAATTAAATCCTGTCTCAAAATCCCTTCCCAGAGTAATATCTATCTAGCAAAAGGCATTGTACTTATACATGGATTTGTTGAATGGTGACCCATTTGTACCAGTAGTTAATATAAATAAATAATTCCCTTCCTCCAACCACCCTTCAAAAAAGAATAGAAAGCAAAAAAGAATGTTAATTCTACATGGATGAAAAATAACAGTTATTCTGCCTAAGCAATGTCACATTTAAAGGCAATGTTTACTGACCCTTGGAAAATTCTCCCATAGCATTCCTCACGTTTTCATTTTTAAAAGATAAGGGCTTCATGTCTCCAACGTGTGAACCAACAAATTTATATGAACAAATGTTCAGATGAATTGTGATTTATGAAATGTGGGATTTGTGCTTCTTTGAATGGGGGGAAACAAAGTCATAGACTTATTAGAACTTGGCAAAGTAACCGATTCTAGGCTTTACTTATCCCTTTATTCCTAAACCCAAGGTTTCTAAGCCCCCAGAGATGAAAAATTAATAAGCATTCTTTGTTTCCATGTTAAGAATGAGACCGGAATGCGATACTCAAAAGACAGTCTAGATGCAGATAAAAGAAAGGAATCTGATAAACCGGGACCTGATAGATCAGCTCGACTGAGCACACAGGTGAGCTGAGCTCTGTCTGCAGAATTGGTAAGAAAATGAAACAGCACAAAGCCCAATGGAAAACACCAAGGGGACAGGAGAGTTCTGGGAGACGAGAGTGAGCCATTCAAATCTGTACTAGGGGACAGCTAACGTCCTCATGAGAAGGTTAACGACAATTCCAGGAGAAGCTGGCCCCTGCCCTCCCTCTAGTCCACCTTCATCTCATGTTCCTACAAGTATGCGTGTACAGATGCCACAGCCTCCTCCACTCGGCCAGTGGGAGGAGGAGACTGGTCTTTGTTCAGATCCGGGAGGGAGGGGGAGTGTGGCTATCACATTGACCGTTTTCCACACAATCTTTCAGATGAGGCGTGCAGTCAATCCGAATCACTTGCTGAGATGTTGCCCCATGCGGTGTCACCCGTCGTGTAGACGCTGCCTTTGTGCAGTTGAGGGAACTAGCCCCTGCCACACTATGCGTATTTATATTCACATGTGCCTGTTGTGGGAGCAGGGCCGGCAGATCACCATGATCAGGGTGAGCAGACTGAAATGAGAGGGGGGAGATTCAGGCAATCTGGGTAGGGGAAGGATGTGGGGAAGAGCACTCTTCCACTTATGTCCTCTGGCATCTTTCTGAAAGGAAAAGGCAGTATGCTCTGGTACATAGCTACCTCCGAGCTCTGCTGCAACCTTGGTTAGGCACCAGCTGCCCTTATGTTGTAGTATGGCAGATTTGACAGATAGGTCATTTTAAAACCTCTTACTAGGCTTTTCCTGAAGTGAGCAAGGTGGGGGAAAGGGAGGGAAGACAGGCAACCTCTACTAAGTTCTCTCTATAGAAGTCACAGGTGAAACACTGTGAGCTATCATATCTGTTTCTTGATTTTTGGATGTTCTTCTGGGTGGATTTCTACTTTTGTTGCTTCACACAGAGTTTAGCATTGAGCCAGAGTCACATAGATTTAGGGTAAAAGAATGAAGGGTCAGAGTCCAGAGTCCTTTCTGAATACTAGTTTAGGTTAGCCTGACGTGGCTATCTTGTAGGTACATTGAAGAAGTGGGTGGTAGGTTACACCCCTGGGTCTCCTCTCCTTAACAGGGCTCCCAAGAATTATCAATGCCAAAGACAGAGTCTGGAGGGTACCACGTGCGCAATCAATGGTCCCGATCACCACGGAGCCCATCCAACGGGGCTCCAGTAGATGATCCCAGAAGCAGGAACAACAATACTAAGGTACAGCTAGATGAAAGGGAGATGTGGATGATAATGAATAATGCTTTGCATCTATTGAGGCATTCTATGTGCCACACATGTCCTCTAGACTTCCATTGTTTTCGTTCTAATTTGCCCTCTGCAAATCAGAACTCCCTGTTGTGGAGAAAAATCAAAGCCCAGAGGTTTAATAAGTGGTAGAATTCAGATTTATAAAAACAAAAAACGAACAAACAAAAAAAAAAAACCCAGGCTCTCTTAGGGCTGGAGGCTGTACTCTTTCCTTCCTTCCTTCCTTTCTTCGTCTATTCAACAAATAGGTACTGAGGACCCATGGCTCCCCAGAATTGGCTGGAAGGGTCAACAAAAGGGACAATGTTACATGGTATTCGATAATGTATAGCTAGGCCTGCCCCGCCCTCCACCACAAGAGAAATGATATATAGTTCTAAGATTATTTTCAGATGCAGAGATAATAAGACAGACCCAGGAGAGAATATGTATTCAGATCCCATCCATCATCTGTCATGTTTGATTCAATAATCTCGCCAAGGCTCTCCCTTTTGAATTACGAGCGAAACAATCATTAAAAGTGAAATCATAATCTACGGAGGCTTAAGAATATCTTCCACACTTGAATGTAGGGCTCCTTTGGTGGAAAGGATTTCTTCCTAAAGCTTAATCTTGTGTTACTGCGCTGGCATGTAAAGCTGATTCCCCCCACCCACCCACACACAATCATTGTATTCTTTACCAGGCCAAGGGGTGAAATCAACCCCTCCCCTCCCCCACCCCTCCTCCTGCTGAGCTACAGGAGTGTCCTGGGCATCGGACAGTCTGTCCACACAGTGAACAAGACACTGGGTACACAAGGAATACTGCTCAAGGGTCCCCCCTTCTTCCCCCCCCCCGCCCCAACCTGTCTGGAAGCTTCCGACTGGGCAGGTGTGTGCCAGGCAGGCGAGGGTCAGATCCCTGCAGACTCTGTTCCCTCTGCCTAAGAGAAAGGAGAACCTGTGTGCTATTTACTCAAAACCAAAAAGAAGGAGGTGCGGCGAGCCGGGGCGGGGTTCACCTGCGGGGTGCTGAGCTGAGAAATGGGGGGGGGGACAAGGTGGGGAGCCGGGAGACACTCAAAGTAGACACAGGTACTCGACACCAATTTCACAGAAAAGATCGCGTTTCTGGCGCCGAGAAACGCCTGCCTCTCGGAAGCTCTGTGGTTGAAAAGGAGCCAGGATGACACCCAGGATCCAGACCCGCGCGCGGGGGTGTGGGGCGAGCTCCCCCCGGTGGGAGATGGGGGGTCCCCCTTGGATTGAAGAGGCCCCGCTCTCTTGCTCTAGCTCCCCACCAGCTCCGCCGCCTCCTCCCGGACCTCGTCAGCCTCCGCCAGCCAGCATGAATCGCCTCCGCAACACCTGTCCACGCAACCCTCGCCGTCGCAGCAGCCGCCGCCACCGCAGCAGCCACCGCCGCAGCCGCAGCCGCCGGCGCCGCAGCCGCCGCAGCAGCCGCCGCCGTCGCCCACTCCGCCGTCGCGGCCCATCACGCCGCAGGACTCGCGGCCCCCGACGCCGCCCGAGCCCGAGCCAGCCTCGCGGAGGAGCACCAAGATGTACGACAACAACAGCTCCGAGTCCTGGCCCCACAGCACGGGGCGCGGCGAGGCCCGCGAGCTGCGCGAGCCGCGAGAGCCGCGCGAGGCCCGCGAGCTGCGCGAGCCGCGAGAGCCGCGCGAGGCCCGCGAGGCCCGCGACTATGCGCACAGCTGCGACTCCCGCGACTCGCAGCCTCAGCCGCCGCGCGAGTACCAGCACCAGCACCAGCACCAACACCAGCACCAGCACCAGCACCAGCACCAGCACCCCTCGCCCGTGACCACCGAGTGGAAGTCCTACGCCCAGCGCCGCCTGCTCTACCCCTCCGTGGACATCGACCGCGACTGCCTGTCCGACCTGCAGCAGCAGCAGCGCCGCCAGCAGCAGCGCGAGGAGGAGGAGGAGGACGAGGCCTACTGGGCCTCGGTGAGGTCTCAGTACGAGAAGACCCCCAGCTGCTCACGACCCCGACCGGTGAGCCGCCGCCTCCTCCTCCTCCTCCTCCTCCTCGTCCTCCCTCCCTTAGCCCTGGCCAGGAACCTGAGCACCTTCCTGCTCCTTCTCCCCGCCCGCGGCCTGGGCCCCTGCGACCTAGGGAAGCCCTGTCTCCTTCTCCCCCTTTCCCCCCCGCACCATCCTGGCCTGGACGAGGTGGGGGTCGGGGGGAGGACTTCTCCCGCTCCGTCTGTTGTGTGACGGTCCCTGTGGGTCTCCTTGCCTGTCTCTGCAGCCCAAACCCAAGCATGCCATCACCATCGCCGTGTCCTCCCGGGCGCTCTTCAACATGGTGGACGACCGGAGAATCTACGAGGAGGAAGGGCTGGAGAAGTACATGGAGCACCAGCTTACTAACGAGAACGTCGTGCTGACCCCGGGGCCCGCGTTTCGCTTCGTCAAGGTATTCGTCGGCCTCCCATCAACACAATGGGTGGGCTTGGAAGAGATTGGGGCCGAAGCTTGGGCAGCTCCTCCCGGTTCCCTAATCACCACCGGACATGCTTAGCCCTTCCCGGGGATGGGTCTGCTTGTGCTTTCACAGAAGTTCTTGTAACCAGCGAGGAAGGGGTTTTAGTAGGGAAGCCAGCTTGGGGTCTTGGCTTCCGTGAGTGGCACCCTAGTCCTTTGACCTGTGATGGCCGCTTTTGCTTCTTTCCCTAGAGAATGTTTTAGGAAGCAAACGGCCTTTACAGTTCTGAGGAGCATATTGAAACGTTAGCATGAGATGGAATAATTCGTTTTCGCTTATTCCAGAGTATATAAGGAAACTCAGGAGACTCTTGGCACTTAAGGGACATGGTTGTATACTGAAATGTGCAGCAATCATAACTGCTTCCCTATGTCACATAGGCAATTATTACATAATAACATAACCATCCCCAAACAAAATGACACCTCTACAACTTGTGCCCTGGGTGTACTTAAGGATCATGGCATAAGTTTGGGAGGAAACCACAAACATAAAGACCCATGTTTAACATATGGTCAGAGTTTCCTTCAGAGTTTCCTGCACATATGCCGATCAAAACTGGAACACTGCAGAGATGATCAGTCTGACCTCCTCCGTGCAGGGTGCTCCTGTCTACCCCCAAATCATTCCATGTTTTTCACAATTAAAACAAAAACAGCCATTAGATGATCAATAAGGAAAAAATTTACAAACCAAGAAATAAACAGACAACACAGAAAAGGGCTAACCTGATGCCAGACTCTACCTACCCCAGAGATAATTCTGGTAACCTTGATGATGTCATCATTTTCAATATATCTGCAGCGAATAGTAACTGAGGTTCCCCGCCCCCATGGATGGGAGGCAGAAAATACAGAACTTTGTTATGTAAACTGTGCCTTGAATGAATCAGGCTGTCTCAGTGAGGACCCTGACGAGCTTGAATCTGACCCGGATGAAGTGATTTTTCTCTACAGCTCCTCCCCCTCCCCCCCCCAAGTTCCCACCTTGCCTGCCCTTCACACATACCTATGTCTCTAACCTGCAGGCATTACAGCATGTCAACTCAAGGCTCCGTGATCTGTATCCTAATGAACAGGACTTATTTGATATTGTGCTGATGACTAATAACCATGCCCAAGTGGGAGTGCGGCTTATAAACAGTGTCAATCACTACGGTAAGTCAAATAAATACCATGTGGGAGACTTAGCCCACAGCTCGGGAAGAGAGAAGCCATGTTATTTTGCTAACTGTGGCCTAAGCAGTGCAATGTCTTTGATACCAACACCCCCTTCTGCGTGAGGAATGTTTATTTGCCTATGTCAGAACAAGAAAGGCCATATTCATTTTTAACTTCAGCACAGAGTTGGGCTCAAAGCTCTGGACTTAACTTGTCAAGTGTGAATTTCAAAGTCTTAATCCCAGGTCCTGCAATCTATTTCTCTGTTTTATGTTTTTCACTTCTGAACTTGACTTCAAGGAACGGTCAAACTAAAGGCTTTCTCCATGTGATCAAACCTCTTGTTCACTGTAGATCCATGTAAGGGTTTAATAAAGGTTTTCACTTCACCTTTCCACTCTAAACATTTGGTTTTCCCAGAAGCTCATGCTCTCTCACTCACACACACACACACACACACACATATAAAACCATACTTATGTCAGCAAAATCATCTTTATTCCTTTACATGGAAAATCTGATTGGCTCTAGTCTCCACAGTATTTCCATCAATGTGTCACTTTCTCTTAAAGTTTCCATTTTTCCTGCTATAAAACTACCTGACTTCCTATTTGAGCCACCATTACCCTGTTTTCTAAGGAGCTGACCCAGGCTTCTGTAAGTGTCAAGTAAAACTCAGGCTTAAATCATGCACATTTAAATTCTAGGTTTAAATTGGGCATATTTATAAACAATCGAGACATATTACAAGTTGACTTCTATTTTACATTATCTCAATTATGAGGTTGGTATCTTACTAAGACTTACTTTAAAAAATTACCTTTTGGAAGTGGTGCTGTGGCTCAAGTGGTAGAGCACTAGCCTTGAGCTGAAGAGCTCAGGGACAGCGCTCAAGCCCAGAGTTCAAGCCCCATGACCAACAACAACAACAAACAAAAACAGAAACAAAATAATACCTTTTAAAATGCAGCCTTCATAGTGCTTGAACACAGTGGTTGAACATAGATGAATGGTATATGATAATAATTGAAAATTATTTTTGTTTTTAATTTTTGAGACATGGTTTTGTTATGTAACCTCAACTGTCCTCAAACTGGAGAACCTCCCACCTCAGCTTCTAGACTGCTGGGATTATAAGTATGAACCATCACACTGTACTCCGACAATTGTTATTTCTAAGTCACACAATCTTATTTGGTTTAGTTGGCAATAACATATCATCCTATTGGTCCCTGTCTTGAACTCCATGGAAGCCTAAGAAATTGTGGTTCCTACAAATTCTGGTGATGAACCAATTAAGCATAACAGTCTTATGAAGCCTTATTCATCACTTTTACCTAGACGAACCATGTCTATTCCCTAGGTTCTGAAGACAATCTATATCTTTCTGTTCTGTGGTCCTTATTATATCATAATTAACGTTTACATGCTTGACTCCAGAGTACAGTGCAATTCTCTTCAGAAGACGCATATGTTTTCATCATTCTAGAAGTCCTAGCTTTACCACGCATTTTCTTAATTGTCACACTAATATTGACTAAAGACTCATAGAATCTATTTTTGTGTCACTTAAAGCCACCATTAGCTTAAAGGAAGAAATGAGTATTTTATTAACACCAAAGCAGATACTTCCACCTCCACAATTGACAACTTAGCCTGATCCTTTGGTCCGTACAAAGTCAAATATTGAACTGGACTTGATATTTTCCTTTATATCCTGTACAGCTATCAAGCTTATCATATAACTGAAAAAGACATTGGTTGGGGACATAATATTTTATTGTGTGAGGTGCTCACATTGGTAAACCTGTTTTCTTTCCATAAATACCTCAGAGTTAGAACTTTTCTACGTAAAATCTTTAGCAAAATTTCAAATTATATTCTTAAGAAAAATATCTGAATAAAAGAAATCGTAAGCATAAACATATAAAAGCTTGTGATAATAGTGTCAAATTACATGCAGATACAAATTATTCTTTAGATGTGGATGGATATTTTACAAAGTTCTTATTTTATATTATTAATTACAAAGACATTTGATAGTACTTTAATTGTTGAGTCTGCTAATAATAGTGTTAAAATTTTCAAGGTAGGAAGGAATGACAACTTCAGATGTTTTACTGACGTTAGAAAATAACATACCTCTTAGTTATATTTGTGAATGCTATTATATTGTTGCTGAAGAAATATAGAACTAATACTTAAAGCAGAGCCTCACCTTAAAGAGCCCTAACCACAAATAAGGAGGTTGTAGTTTAAGGAGCAAATTACTACAGTCTAGAAAGGAGGTTTGTGTTTATTCCATGCTAGTCAACAAGTTGGTTACACAAATCTTCCTGACTCTTATTCTTTAATAAAAATAATACCTACCATGAAATTGTGACAGTAAGTTGGAATGATCTATATAAATATACTTCATGAAGAAAATGCACCAAGTATACTCCCTAGAATATAACACCCAAGAAGCTTTTCAATAATGGTGAAATAATTTTAAACCTTCAATTATTTTTACAGTAACTTCCATAAAATTTACGAACTCACATAGACTTACAAATAAACTCAGTCGTTCCTAAGATAACTTTACTCGGATTTCTTATGCTTTGTCTTTAATCTCTGCCATAACCAAGTCTTTCTTTCTTCTTATAGGTTTACTTATTGACCGCTTCTGTTTGACTGGTGGAAAAAGCCCCATTGGCTATTTGAAGGCATATCTTACCAACTTGTATCTTTCTGCAGATTCTGAAAAAGTACAAGAAGCAATCCAAGAAGGTAGTAGTCTGCTTTTTTCCTTCTAGCTAATGAGGTCTAAACTAATGGTCAGTTATTTTGGGGATTCCATAGGATTAGGTGGTTTACACTCTTGAATCTTCTGCTAAGCTGTTTTTACATGTGTCAGCCGTTTTGTTTGCACTTTACAGTTTTGACCTTCTTGAGTTGCACATGCTCTGTGATTGTCCTATAGCCTATTTTAAACTTCCTGTCCATGTAGGAACAAAGGCAGTATGTAGATTACTGTACTGGGATGTGTGATTGTAAACAGGAGTGGTTGCTATCAAATAACAGACGAAATATGAGTTCTGGGAAGAATTTCTTCTTAATGGGATAATCTAAAACTCACAGCTCTGAGAAGAGTATTAATGAGTCCAAATGACCTGCCAGGTATTGCCTCTGCAACAATGTTTGATGGAGCCAAAGACGTGGCTTATTGTGATACACAGCTCCGTGTGGCCTTTGACGGGGATGCCGTCCTCTTCTCTGATGAATCTGAATATATTGCCAAGGAGCATGGGCTGGACAAATTCTTTCAACATGAAACACTATTCGAGAACAAGCCTCTTGCTCAGGTAAGTTCAATTACTTAATTTTCATGAACTTATTTTCCAACATACAAATTTAAATATTTTAAAGTATTTGTTCATTGTGATGGCAGGCCTCTCCTCAGTACCTTCATGGTTTTCTGTCTTTGATTTGTGAATTCTTACTTTTGAAGCATCTACTGATCACAACTTTTCATTTAAATACTAACTCTCCATTCATTATTCTTTAGGGGAATGATTTTTTTTTTTTTTGGTCCTGTCATGGGGCCTGAACTCTGGGCCTGGGCGCTGTCCCTCAGCTCTTCAGCTCAAGGCTAGCGCTCTACCACTTAAGCCACAGCACAACTTCGAGCTTTTTTTCTTTTTGCTTATGTGGTGCTGAGGAATCGAACCCAGAGCCTCATTCATGCAAGGCAAGCGCTCTACCACTGAGCCACCTTCCCAACCCCTAGGGGAATGATTTTATGATCTTCCCATGATAATGAGTTTCCCTCCTCCAAGATATGAGTAAAAGATGTGATACAGCTTCCCAATAAACCGTTTCAAAATAATAGGTTCTCAAAATAGTGGTGATGTTTTCTATTGCTTAGCATTTTATGTTGATCTCTATGCACGTTGACTCCAAACTCAAGACAGCATTGGTTAATTGAGAAATTCTGCAAGATTCATAGCCCAAATCTAGTCATCTAATCAGCCTCAAATAAGAGCAAACTATGAACACTTTATCAATATGAATGCAAATATTTAGGTTTTTGTAATTCATACACGAGCTGAAGTATTAAAATCAAGGTCTGAAATGAACAAAACTGATGTAACTTTAGTACCAAAGAAAATGTTAACCAAACTGATGGGCCCTTCAATTTTGTTATATGAAGAACTCATTTCTCAGTTCTTTATGAACCTTAATAAACTTATTTTTGCTTACTTTTATAAAAGTATAAATGGACTTACTGAAATTTAGCAGACTTTGCCATTTTGTCACCTAATAATATGCAAGTGATATTTAAATTTTGGGTTAAATTTATTGGTTTTTTTATCATGTGATTTATGATTTTAATGTGATAGCTAAGAAATAATTGCCTAACCTAAGGATCCAAGATCATAAAGATTTTATCCCATATGGTTATATAAAATTCTCATAGTTTCAGGTTTTTATTGTTAGCATTATGATCAAGTATTATATTTGAATACAAATTTAATGTGGTTAAGTTTGTCTGCTTATGGAAATACTAATTGCTCTAGCAGTATTGTTGAAAGGCTGACTTTCTGCTTTGTTCTTTTAATATAGGTATCAGTCTTTTTATAACTATAATAATATTGTTATAATTATAGATTTATAGTAGGCTTTAGGTTTAGGTGTTATGATTTTTCTGATTTACTTTTAAACTATTTACAAATTCACATTTCATTTTTATATGGATTTAATCTTCACATTGACTATTTCTAGTGAAAAAATCTTGCAGCAATTTTATTGCAGTTGCATTGAATTTATAGCTAAATATAAGAAAAATAGGTATCTTAGTAGCTGTTTTATTCCATGAATGTGGTGTATCTCTCTACTTATTCAAATATTTTAAAAATTTTTTATGAGTGCTTCATATGGAGTAAAAGAATTTTTTACTTTGTTATCATAAGCAGATTTCAAATATTTAAAATCACAAAGCTCCTCAAAGAAGTATTTAAATGACTCTTACTAACATATCTGTATTTTATCAATAAATTATATCCTTTTGCTAGTATACAAATAAAACTGGCCCCAAAATCCAAGTAAAAGAGGTTAGTATGGTCTCCTGGTTTAAATATTGTAATAAAAATTAATTCCATATTCCTCATTTCTTCCTTTTGGAAAGTTCACAAATGCCACAAAAACTAAGTCTGTTTTAAAGACAAAAGGTGACCAAGTGGCACCTACCAGCATTTGCTGCATGTATTTTGTTGTTGTTAAAAAAAGAAAGAAGTTACAAGTTGCTCATGTGTATGTATGCCTCTCCCTTTCAATAGAATAGGCATGCTTTTTTTCCGAGAAAGCAGAATGAAACAAATGTTATCATGTAAGTCATAGTTCCAGAAAAGTTTGTTCTCATGGTAGCAGAGAATAATACAATCTGAAAGTCAGTCTTCCAATACTACCCATGACTCCCCAGAAACTGACAATTATCCCAAGGAAACCAACCTACTTCAATAGAAGTACTAGAAAGAAATCTAGTTCAATATAATAGAAAAAGATTATAAAATATATTTAAAATTGCTAAGAGAAAAAGGCAGGGAAAAAAAAGATATAATGAAATTTGACAATAGATGAAGAACCCTTACCAGAAAAAATTGCCACAGTACTGAACATATTTTATGAATTTTAAAAACTCAATAAAACATGGTCATAAACTGTAACAATAATATCAGGGAAGAGATGATAAAATCTGAAGTAGTAGATTGTTGAAAATGAATAGAATTGAAAATAATGTCTCAGATAGAAAAATAACTAAAACTAAAATAGATCACAGGCAAAAGAATTACAACATATGTACAAGTGGAATCCCTGAAGAATAGTATTGAAATTTTGTTCAGTGAGGTATGGCTAACTAAAAATGTTTTGTAAAATTATATAAAAAATATATCAAGAAAACACCTTGAATTATTAAAATATGTTAATAAGTATACTAAATTAATAAATCATTAGAGATAAAGATCCACACTGTCTGAATAATCATGTCTGAAATATGCTTCAGTGAAATTACTTGGCTTCAAAGATAAGTAATTTTTAGGTCTTCCTGTTCATAAAGACCAGTCATCGTATAGTGTGGATAGGTGAGCAGTTGGAATCAGTCAGGCTGCCCCAAGGTTCTCAATAACTCATTAATGGTAAACGACTACCTGAAAGACATTACGGGCAGAAAATATAAATCACTGGATCTATATCTAGCAGGAAGTTCATTCAGGTCAAAAGAAAACAGCTGTGTGGTTGAAAAAAACTAAATTCTCAGAGATTATTTCCGTAAGATTTGTTTTTGAGAACACTCTGGGATTGAGTTTGGCTAGTATGTGGGTAACTGGATTCACTAAAGCACAAATGATCATGTAATACTTTTAACTATGGATTTAGAACTAAGACAGTATGTGATGTTAGATGGGGGGAAAGAGTAAATATTACGAGTCTTAATAATGTAGTCATTATATAGCTAATGATGAAGAGAAAACCCTCTGGGGAGAAAATTCTACAGAGTTGAAGTAAGTCTGCCGATAACTTCAGTTTCAATGGCCAATCAATCAGAGCATAAAATTAAGTTGGTTAAAAAAAATAGAATACATAACAAGGCAAACAAACGTCGAGGAAGTATAAATAGGTGACTACCATAACATAATATGAGAAAAAGGATATAATGAGAGAAATGTTGCTAAACACCTTCATGTCATTTCTCTTTGTAAACTGGGGCTTGGCAGTACATGGTAGTAATCCCATAACTTTGCATGGCTAAGGCAGGAGAATCTCAAGTCTGATGCCATCCTGGGCTATATAGCAAAAATTTGTGTCAAAAATACCAAAAAAATGCAAGAGATTTCTTAAGACAATACCAAAAAAATCCAGAATTGTTAAAAAAAACATTGTTAAAGATTATAGTTATTAAGTTCCTTTGTAGTGCAAACTAATATAAAGTTTCTCAAGTCATAAGAACTGCATATGTGATTATTCACTTAGTGAATAAGCTTTCACCATACTTCATCTTGGAAAATCCAATGAAAACCCCAAATACATACAATATGAAGTATATTTGTAATAGGAATAATTTCAAGTCCACTAGAACTCAACTACTGTTTTAAAACATAAGGCTTTCAGGTTGTATCCCATGGAAAATCCAATCCCTTAGTCTATACACTAGAGAAACAACTGAAACAATGTTCAGAAAAATTGAAAATGAAAATGAAAGAAAATATGAAGCAGCTATAAATATATAATGATTGGGGGGGATGCAGTAGATCAAAAAGAGTACACTTTTAATGTTAAAACTGTGCTATTCATTTTTTTAAAAACCCTAACTTTAGAAAGTGGTATCAATATGAGAATTTGAACTGAACCATCTCTAGTCCAGCTTTTTGCTAGTTATTTTGGAGATGGAGTCTTGCCAACTTTCCTGCCTGGACTGGCTTCAAACTATAATCCTCCAGGTCTCAGCCTTCAGAATAGCTGGGATTACAGATGTGAGTCACCAGTTCCCAGCCCTCCCCACCAAAAAATAGTGCTTTTGATGACCACCAGAGTTTATTTGGAGTGGCCATCTATCTTGTTTACTAGATCTCATCTAATATGAATAGTTTATGCTCATTGTAACTTGTTTATTTACAGATCATTCTTTTACATGTCACGTATGTTGGTTTAGATGATAAATTATATGCCCAACCTAGTTTTGTTTCATAAATTTAAGGTGATTGCATTGTCAGGTCACACATTCACATAAAGGTAGTAAGTTTTAGCACTGGTCAACCCAGGAACTGCATGTAATGTGAGGTCTTTTCTAAACTCATTCAAGCCTCTACCATGCCTTTCAGCTCCTCAGTTATAGCTGTGATATGTGTTTCTTTCGCAGGGTCCTTTGAAAGGCTTTCTGGAAGATTTAGGCAGACTGCAAAAGAAGTTTTATGCCAAAGACGAGCGGTTACTTTGTCCTATTAGGACCTACCTGGTTACAGCCAGAAGCGCAGCCAGTTCAGGCGCCCGTGTGCTGAAGACCCTTCGACGCTGGGGTCTTGAAATAGACGAAGCCCTTTTCCTTGCTGGAGCTCCAAAAGGTCCCATTTTGGTGAAGATCCGGCCTCACATCTTCTTTGATGACCAAATGTTTCACATTGAAGCAGCCCAGAAGTTCGGCACCATCTCGGCTCATGTACCTTATGGCATTAGTCAAAAATACAACTGTTAGCGACTGGAAGAAGAAATAAAGCAGTGACAGGCTGGTATTACCAGTGGTACATCTTTTGGATGTCAAGAATAATTAGGTGTCAGAAGATTGGACCTCATAACTTAGATCCTCTGTAAAGCTTTTCTCTTCATTTATTTGAAAACATTTTGAATTGACAAGTTACCACCAAGCTCCTTTTCTAAAAACCAACAATGCTAAATGCATGCCATTGCACTTGCTTCTGTGTAAGTCATAACAGTGACTCTTTAGAATAAGTTCAAAATGACCGTGATGAAGGGGCTTTCAGAAGCTTATTTCATGAAATGTTGCTCATTTTTGGATGTTGCCTTAGATGAGTGATCGTCAGAGATGGAATGAGTTCTGAAAACAAGAGCTTTTCATTCTGTTGCCTCTTTGACCAGCATTTTGCCTCATTCGAAATGAGAATGTCATTCGACCTGCAGGCATATACCAACTTTCCTCATTTCGAAATAAATCAACTGGTTGTTTCAACTGAGTGCTTTCTAAAATGAATTCTAAGAATAAGCTTCCTAAAAAAATTTTGAAAGTTTCTGGGGGATATGAACCACATGTAGACCACAGATACTGAAATGTCTAGCTTTAGGCCTGGCAAATTGGACCAATATTTGCAATAAAAGAAAAAAGGTTGACCATCACTTCAAAATGTAATAGACAGTGTGGTGGCCTTTGTCATTGTTGTGATTTGTATTTTCAACAAGATTGGCTATTAACCGTAGTATCTGCTAGGCACAGTGAGCTGGTCATTTTTGTGTCACCTCAGCCTCTCATCAAATTAAATATTTGAGACATAGTATTAGTCTTCGTACTTTCAGTGTGGATCTGAACATTTGAAAACATTAGATTGTCTAAGGATTAGGCCTACTGTGTACCTAATAAGTGATAAGACAAGGGTAAAAATTTAGATCTTCCCTCAAAAGTAGTATGTGTCTCTTTTCCCTCTTCAACAACCTATCAAATAGTTAATTCTCTAGTATCTGGACTCATTTGGAGAGAAGTAATTTATTGCATTTAGCTCTGTGTAAGCCAAGCCGGCAATTACACAGCAAATCTAAGGATTCTTTTCTTTCTTTTCTTTGTTTTATCCTTTTATTCTCTCTGGCTTTCTCTTACTTCTGTTTCTATCTCCTAAGTCACCTACACAGACATAGTCTCCCTAAGAGATAAAACAGCTGTCTTCCTAGGGAGATTTGATATAAACCAGACTAAAATGTATCAGTTGTGACACTGAGTATTTTGTATCCATTATTCCATGTAAAGACCACAAGAGAAACTCAGAATTCCATCCTTTGGGATATTTAAAACTTTAACCCAAACTTAACCACCAAAAATAAAATGTCCCAACTCATAGCTAACACTTGAAGGCTGCTTGCTTTTGTGCCAATGATGTTCTCATGTGAGCCTGAGGAAGCACACCATCAAAGGCTGGAAGTGGTCAGAAAAGACACCTGAAATGAAGTTTGAAAGAATGGAAAAACTGGTGATTCTGGGTCACAATAAAGTGTGAATCCATTGGTCTATTCTCATTCCAACTGATTCCTGTTGTTAAAATTTAAAGCCAAAACTAGGAAAAGGGGGAGCTAAAGTGGGTTCATTTAACAGAAGGTAAAAGTAAATTGAAATGAGTTTACAAGACCCAGAAGCCCTTAAAGGAAAGCACACACAACACCCGGAGGATTTGTTACCTTATTATGGATAACTACATTTGGCCTGTACACAGTTGTGTAAACTCAAAGCAGCATTCTTCAGGCGTAGCTGCAGTAGAGACAACCACCACTCTGGGATTTCAGTGGGTATGGTCCTAAGCCTGAATCCCAGAGCGTAGGCTAGGCCTTCCAAGATCAGGCTGGAGACAGGTTCCCATGAGGGCACCAAACTCTCCCAATCATCGGATCGGTGTTCCTCAGGACCGGAACTACAAGTCCCAGGCTGCTTCGCGCGAAACGCCTAGAGACGACCGACCGCGCCCCATAGTCCTTTGCGCGCTGGTGACAGCCCAGACGCCGGAACTCTCGCTCTGGGCCCGACAAACCCTCCGCCCGGAAGGCTATGGCCGTGGCCACCGCGGCGGCACTACTGGCCGCGCTGGGCGGGGCGCTGTGGCTAGTGTCCCGGCGGTTCGTGGGCTCCAGGGCCCAGCGGCTGCACGGACACGGGGACCCCGGCCTCATGCACGGGAAGACCGTGCTGATCACCGGGGCCAACAGCGGCTTGGGCCGCGCTACGGCCGCCGAGCTGCTGCGTTTAGGGGCGCGGGTTATCATGGGCTGCCGGGACCGCGCGCGCGCCGAGGAGGCGGCGGGGCAGCTCCGCCGCGAGCTCGCGCAGGCCGCGGGGCCCGCGCCCGACGCCGCCGGCGAGCTGATCGTCAAGGAGCTGGACCTCGCCTCGCTGCGCTCCGTGCGCGCCTTCTGCCAGGAGCTGCTCCAGGTGTGGGTCTGGCCACGCTGCGCGGCCCCCGGGTGGGTGGGGGGCGTCGGGGCTCGGAGCAGGGGCGGGGCCTGGGCGGGGGGCGGGGCCCAGTCCAGGCTCTGACCTTGGGAATGGGCTGACTTTGGGGACCCAGTACGTGACCCCTGCAGGCCCGGGAGGAAGGAGGGCTGACCCAGGCGGATGTGGAGAACGATAAATTAGCTAGTGTTTGAACATTTCATTTTGTTACACGAGCACGACCCGGGATTTGGCCCCTGGTCTCTTGAATTCGTTTGCCCTTTATCCGAATTGAATGTAGGCCAACTTACGCCTTCTCTCACCGGGTCTGGGAGAGAGTGGTTAGTCAAGAATTGTCTGTCAACTAAGTGTTTTAAACATGCCTATTCCAGTTTTTTGCCTTTTTCTCCCACCTCCTTTTCTCCCTCCCCTTTCTCTTCCTCTACTTCCTCTTTTTCTCTTCCTTTTCTTCCTTTTCTGCAGAAGTAGGGAGTATCACTTCTCACCATCCTAACACAACCTCTGTCTGGCCTGATATCCAAATGGATTTTAGATCCTAAGGATCACTGTTCAAATGGACAGGGATAAAAATAATGCAGTGCATTATTAACCTTATTGAAAAAAATTAAGTGAATTTAAAATATGTATCTTTTGTCATTAAACCTTCACTAAAAACCATCAGAAGTGGGCATTATCTCTTATCTTTTGCAACACAAGCCAACTGGCCTAGGAAGGTCAGGTAACTTACCAATGGTCTGTCTTCAGAGCCCTTGCTTTAAACACTTACTCTATACTCCCCTGGCACAGGGATGTGAAAATTTCTTTGAGCAGATGGTAAGCAATCTACTAAAGTGGAGGCCCTGTGTTGAGACTCTTAGAAGGCCTTCTTCCAAAGGTGACTTGTCAGAGAGACATCAAAAACTAGCTGGCCCAGAAAAGACACCTGTAAGAAATGGAATCGCTTGAGGCTAAAGCAGGAGTTTCCAAATTTTCTCAGTAATTTTTTTCAAGATGCCCTTGTGCTAAAAAACATATCTACAGGTTTGTTTGGTATGTAGTTAGTTCTAAGCAACCTAGGAAGTATTTATGTCCTAACAATTCAGTTTGAAAAAATAATACACATAATTCAAAGAAAAAAGTGATTTTTACTTTATTTATTTATTTTTTTGTGCCAGTGCTGGGGCTTGCACTCGACCTGGGCGCTGTCCCCTGTCCCTGAGCTCCTGAACTTTTGTGCTCAAGGCTAGCCGTTTACGACTTGAGCCACTGTGCCACTTTCAGCTTTTTGTAGTTAACTGGAGATTCAAAACAAAACAAAACAACAGCTCATGGGCTTTCCTGACCCCTCTTCCTTTGAACCACATCCTCAGATCTCAGCCTCCTGAGTAGGTAGGATTACAAACTGAGCCACCAGCACCCAGCCCTGATCTTAAAATAGGCATAATTACTAATGGAATGTGTGCCTGTTGGTCGTTGTATTGTTTCCAGTTGATTGGACAAACTACCTTGTTTCCTATCTTGTGAATTCTTTAGCTTTGTACTTGCTTTTTACAGCAGTTATGAATAACTGCTAAAATGCAGTTCACAAACAAATGCCTTCATCAAAGGAGATTATCTTAGTGTCATGTTGAAGGGATGAACCACCTGAATTTAGTAGTTTGAAGTATTGAATAGAGTATCACTGTTTCCTCGGGAATTTTTAAGTATTCCATAGCACCTTCCATAGCCGCTGCCTTGCTCCTAATTGCCGTTTAGACATTTTGCAGGTCAAGGGAGCTGGGGTTTTGATATTGCTGGTATTTTATTATGTAGCAGGTTAAGAAGCAATACTTTGGAATTTGGAAGTTTTTGGAAGCCCTAGAAAAATGTATGTTCATGTTTTGAGTTAAAATATAAATGGGGCTGGGTATGCTTCTTGCTCCTGATCCCTTGGTTTGTTAACTTGAAGCAGAACCAAGGAAAAAGTAAGGACCTGAAGAAATACCTAAGTTGTCACCGCTTCTGAGGATTTAAGTCCTTCCTGGCTCTAGAGTTCAGTGACTAATTAGAAAAAAAAATGGAAAAAAAAGGCTTTGCAGAGGTTGGTATATTTGGCATTTATGTCATTTATCTCCTAGGATAAAAAAATAGTAAATGATAAAGTCTTAAAATAACACAAACTCAGCAAAGATCGGTGGCTCTGAAATGATTAATTCAAGAAGCCCTTCCAAAGGATTAGTGAAAAAGAGCACTCCTTTCTTTCCTTCATCGTTGAACTCTTGCCTTCTTTTTGAAGTTGGGTACTAGAAACCTAAAAGGGTCTTAAACAGGGAAGAATGAGAAATGGTTCATCCTCCAACAGGTAGGTTTTGATAGCAGTTGTAAATGACACATTTTTCATTTCATTTACATTTGGCAAAAGTTAAATGCTGGCATAGAATTAATTTAATAATGAGTCACCAATTGTGTCTTTACACCTGGAGCATGTTGGACATTATTTTTATCCATCCAAAAAAAATCTAGGGGGAAAAAAAAGGCAACTTATAGCCGGGCACTGTGGCTCACGCCTGTAATCCTAGCTACTCAGGAGGCTGAGATCTGAGGAGCTCGTTTCAAAGCCAGCCTGGGCAGGAAAGTCCATGAGACTCTTATCTCCAATTAACTATCAGAAAACTGGAAGTGGCACTGTGGCTCAAGTGGTAGAGCGCTTGCCTAGAGCTGAAGAGCTCAGGGACAGTGCCCAGGTCTAGCGTTCAGGTCCCATGACCGACAAAAAAACAAAAATAAGTATATATTCTACTAGACCAGTTTCTAAGCCCAGGAAAACCATGTCTCTATTGCCTCCTAATTAACCTCATGCCTACCTAGCGCAATGCTGAGATCAAATTTGGTGAATGAATGACAAGAGTTGGAAGTGGCACTGTGGCTCATGTGGTAGAGCGCTTGCCTTGAGATGAAGAGCTCAGGGACTGCACCCAGGCCCAGAGTTCAAGCCCCATGACCAACAACAACAAAAAAAAAAACTAAAGAAAGAAAAAATTATATAACTTACATACTATGAACACAATAAATTTTAGCACTTTAATTTGGTTAGAGTACAATATATAATCCAAATACAAAATTCTGTCTCTGTAGACAGACAAGACAGACGATAGATAGATAGATAGATAGATAGATAGATAGATAGATAGATAGATAGATAGATAGATAGATAGATAGATAGATAGTAGATCTCCTTTGTTGAGGGCATCTGGAAGCTCAAAGGAGGATTTCATATAGGGAAAAACACATTGAGTTCTACAGTCAGGGGTCAAAGGTGTTTGAGCTTATCCCTCTCAGACTAGTTTAAGTTTCACTTATGAATCGCTCTTCCTAATGTGCTTACGCTACCTACTCTTTCTTTCCTTTTGACGTCTCTGAGCCATGCTCCAACCACAATGTTTTGGTGTTTTGTTTTGTTTTGTTTTGGTCATAGGGCTTGAACTCTGGGCCTGGGCGCTGTCCTTGAGCTTTTCAGCTCTAGGCAAGCGCTCTACCACTTGAGCCACAGCACCACTTGGTTAACTGGAGATAAGAGTCTCATGGACCTTCCTGCCCAGACTGGCTTTGAACTGTGATCCTTAGATCTCAGCCTCCTGAGTAGCTAGGATCACAGGCGTGAGCCACTTGAGCCAGCTCCAGCCACATTGCCTGTCCAGGTACATTCCTAGACTACTATCTGCCTATTTGGGGGCCTCCTGTATTTGTTGGGATCATTGGCATATACCACAATGTGTATACCTAGGTAGAGGTGGAGACTTAGTGGACTTTTCTACCCAGGCTGACCTGGAACTACAGTCCTCCCATTCTCAACCTCCCATTTATCTTAGAATTATAGGTGCCCAGCAACTTGAAGTTTAAAAGAGGTCTCAAGAACTTTTCTGCCCAGGGTGATCTCGAAGCTCCATCTCCCATTCTCAGCTTCTCAAGTAACTATAGACAAGTTCTAGCACCCAGCTCTTATTTTGTTTTAAAATACTTTATTCATGTTTTCTCATCTAAAGTTTACATGTCCGGCCATTTTTATTCCTTCTCTCAATTTTAAGGAAATGCCTTGAAGTCCTTCTCATGACACTCTTGGAGGAGTATGCCACAACCAATCTTACACTTACCCTTGTAAGGTGTTGATGTTAGTAGGTCTGGAGATACACAGTGCTGGCTCTTCTTCTGTGAGTGTGCTCACTGAGGCTCTGGCTCTTTTGTAATTAGAAACCCAAACTAGCTTGCTAATTAAGAGAAGGGACATTGGTGTGTAATGATTTCATCTTCATGTCTGATTCATTGCTTTACCTGATGGGACAAGTGAGACCTAGCTTCTGCTTCTGCTTCTTATAAAGTTATTGGGAATAGATGGTGTCTGTGTTAAACATGCATAAGTTTGTTTCCATTTGTCTCTGTTGGAAGTTCACAGAAGCATTTTGTATCTTAGTATACTGAAAATACTTGTTAAAATTTTATCCTAGGGACATGTATTGTGATTTTGATATGGTCTCAGCATTAGCGTGACTTTCAAATTGACATTTTCCTCACTTAGCTAAAATGAAGGGAAGAAATATGGAATCATAAGTGACTGATCCACATCCACATTCACTTCTGTTTTATGAAAGGTCTTAGGACTGAACAAATAATCAACTTTGTACTACAATTCCTAAGTATGCATATTGGCAACCATTAAAAATGTAAAAGCATAAGACTGGAAAGTAAGTTTTAGGTTGGATTTCTTCTGTATCTCTTCCTTGCAGATTACTGTGGAGAAGTACATTCATATTTTAATAAATAGGAAGGAACTGTTGAGTGAGATTGCAAATAGCAGTATTTGAAGAACATCCTGTAAAGGAATCCCTAACCTCATTCATTAAGAATACCATTGACAGTGTTTCAGATAGTTGTCTGACCATAGGTTAAAAGCTGAAATTAAACACTTCTAGTCTCAAATTCTCCATCCCCCCCCCCCGCCTTTTTGTTTATTAAAGTGTGTATCATGAACAGGAAGAGCAATCAAGACCTATCCTCATAATTCTGTGTTGTCCTTTTGATGTTTATAAAGGAGGAGCCTAGGTTGGATGTCTTGATCAACAATGCAGGCATCTTCCAATGTCCCTACATGAAGACAGAAGATGGCTTTGAGATGCAGTTTGGAGTGAACCACTTGGGCCACTTCCTCCTCACCCATCTTCTGCTGGGACTCCTCAAAAGTTCAGCCCCTAGCAGGATTGTGGTTGTTTCTTCCAAACTTTATAAATATGGAGACATCAACTTTGAAGATTTGAACAGTGAACAAAGCTATAATAAAAGCTTCTGTTACAGTCGAAGCAAACTGGCTAACATTCTTTTCACCAGAGAACTAGCCCGCCGCTTAGAAGGCACCAATGTGACTGTCAATGTGTTACATCCGGGTATTGTTCGGACGAATCTTGGGAGGCATATACATATTCCTCTGCTGGCAAGACCACTTTTCAGTTTGGTGTCATGGGCTTTCTTCAAAAGCCCATTAGAAGGTGCCCAGACATCCATCTATTTGGCCTCTTCTCCTGAGGTAGAAGGTGTGTCAGGAAGGTACTTTGGGGATTGTAAAGAGGAAGAACTACTGCCCAAAGCTATGGATGAATCTGTAGCAAGAAAACTCTGGGATATCAGTGAGGTGATGGTTGGTATATTAAAATAGGAATGAAAAGTGAGAGATCACAGTTATATCTGTGGTCAGGAATGGTGTAGTTTGAGCCTTATACTTGAAAACACAATTTTGGTTTTGTAATAGCAATGCTAAGAGTATAAATGGGTATGTCAAAGTTATTAAAAAGTTATTTCTGGATAATAGAATTTCAGCAAAGATTTTTAAATATGTCAAATGTGATGGGCAAAAACATTTTAATTGGGCAAACATAGTATTAAACAAAGTATTAAAGAATTTGAATACATTTTCTGATACTTTTGTGTTATTAAAATGTTTAGATTTCTTAATACATTGCCATTTTTTTGTTTGTGTGGAAATGATCTGCCTGGTGAATCTTATTTCTAATAAATTTGCTGATGCCAAGTCTTCATTGTGCTTTCCTTTACAACTTGAAGTGCAGTCCTTTCTCAAGTCCTCCCTGCCCTCTCCTGGGCTTGCTGTTCCCAGTCTTCCCACAGCTTTCAAATGGCTGACACTGCTGATCATTCTACTACATGAGGAACTTCCCAAACTAATGTGAAAATCCGAAGTAGCCCAGGCTGGTTGTAATAAATATTTTTAATGTCTTTTAATTGAAATTGTTTAAGAAAAAAAAGTTTTAAATGTAGAAGTTGCATGGATAAACAATTTATAGCAATACTATAGGTCTGGAGTTCTGCCAAAGCTATCCCTAAAGGGATTTAGTAGAGCATAACAATAGTTTATAAGTATTCTATCTAACATTTATGCTCTTTAATGTACATCTGAGACCCTCCAGGAACTGGTGATAGGCTTACTGTGAACTCATTCCATGTTGTCTGATGGAACCTTCTGCAGTAATGGAAAGAATTCTACCATACAAACCTGTATGGTAGACTGAATAAGTGTTGATACTGAGTATGTGAAATGTGTTTCAGAACTGAATGTCTAAGCTTAATGTTTGTTTAAATTTTAAACAGGCACAGGTCTAAGTGACTAGCTTCACAACAGTGCCTCTCTAGTCTTCCAATGGGATTGTGGGACAAAGGAGTCCAGAATATAGAATCTGCCACTCCCTAGCCACTGGGCTTTGTTTGTGTTTTTTCTTTAGACCAGAATTACTCTCTCTCTTTTGAAGATTGTTCCTTCCTTACACTTGTTCCTTTCTCTTGTCCCTGAGGACACAAAGAATTCCCTCTTCCTGTCTTTCCTTTGGTCTTTTTTTTTGTAGCTCTTTAAAATTCATTAATTATTCATTTACAGATCTAGTTAAACGATTAGAATAACAATTCTCCAAGGAAAAGATACTTAGTTTTTGTTTCTCCTTGAATCAAAGTATATGTAATACCTGAGACATAGTAGAAGAAAAGGAATAGTGTGCGTAAAAATAATTGAGTGCATATAGGTATACTATAGGCATCTGTGTTAATAGCATCATAATGTCTATTTATTATTTTTTGCCAGGCCCCAATGGCTCACACTTGTAATCCTAGCTACTTAGGAGGCTGAGAACCAAAGATTGCAGTTGTAAGCCAGCCTGAGCAGACAAATCTGATAGCCTTATCTCCAGTTAGCCAACAAAAACAAGCAAACAAACAAAAAAACAGAAGTAGAGTTGTGGCTCAAGGAGTAGAGCCATAAAAAATACTGTTATTTATCTTGCCATCACTTAATACTGAAGAGTAGAATTGTGATAACAAAGTTCGGCAGCTGTGTTTAATTTTTAGCCATTTAGGTCAGGAATAATTCCTTTTTTGTGCTTGAACTCAAGGCCTCACACTATTGTTTGCGTTTGCACTCAAGCATGGTGCTTTACACTAACACTTCCAAGGCAAACTCTTGATCAGCTATTATTTTTAAGACCTTTGTTAGTAGCCATTCACTAATGTCAGTTCATTTTGAGAATGATGAGATCACGTAGAAAGTCTCTTTTCTGTTTGATCATTGGGTTGATATCGCGAAGTAAGAAAGGTTCTGCCCACTTGTGTCTGTGCAGGTATAGTACATACAGCAGCAGCATGGTCTTTCAAACATTGCAGTTTTAAAAGTAATCCTACTAAAAGACCTGCTGAACTTGGAAATGCAGGCAGGAAATATACCAGAATGCAACTTGGAAAAATGGAAACATAAATCTGTCCTAAACTTTGACTTCATTAAAAAAGATCTCCGCCTGGCCTTTTTTTTTTTTTTCATTTAATACCATCTTTTTCTTTTTTACTTTAAGACTTGTTTTATTTTTTTGTACATTTTTTATTGTAAAAATGTTGTACAGAGGGGTTACAGTTACATGAGCAAGGTAATGAGTACATTTCCTATTGAGCATTGTTGCCTCCTTTGTTTTCCCCCTACCATCCCTTTCCTCCGACTCCACAACTACCCCCCTACCCCGCCGAAGTTGTAAAGTTAGTTTTCAACATAGTGTTTGTACATCTCATTGTTACAGTGGGTCAGCCTGTATCCTTATTTAAGCATTTTGCTTTTCCTTCCCCTCACCGAATTAGAGAAGTATATATACAAGATGCAGGGCACCAACATCAAATACAGTGAAAATAGGGGTTATACTATGGAGGAGGAACATACAAAGCAAAAAAAAAAAAATCACATGGTACATTATAAATAGGTTAGAAACAATAGCAAGAAAGAACAAAGATATTTGTGTCCCTATCTTGGTGTTCATTTCGCTTAACATCATCTTACATGGTCATATGTACATGGCTTTTGTCCTTTTCTGCTTGTCCTACACATATACTAGTTATTGCCAATAAGGGAAACCATGAGACCTATGTTTCATTGGTCCTGGAAAGACATTCTCTTCAGTATATGGTGTTGGCAAAATTGGTTATTCACCTGTAGAAAACTAAAGCTAGATACTTATATATCACCCTGCACCAGAATCCACTCCAAATGGATCAAAGACCTCGCTCGGAATCAAAGCAGACACTCTGAAAACATTACAGGATGTAATAGGAGAAACCCTAGGTCTCCTTGGGCACAGGCTGGAATTTTCTTAATAGAGACCCAGAAACACAACAAATCAAAGAAAGGTTGGACAAATGGGATTGCATGAAGCTGCAGAGCTTCTGCATGGCAAAGGACATACCAAGATCAAAAGAAAGCCCACAGCTTGGGAGAAGATCTTCACTAGCCATACAATAGACAAGGGCCTCACATCTAAAATATACTTGGAACTCAAAAAATTAATACATTTTGATTAATGCATTTTGATACCTGATGCTTTTCAGGGGATTTGGACCTTTTGGGCCTTTCATAATGCTTGTTTGTGGCACTACAGTAAAATAGGATATATTGACATATCATAATGGAAAACTAGAACTGTATCTGGAAACACCAACTATTAAGATAAAATGAGCTGCCCCTTGGAGGATCTTTTTTCTATAACTGTGGCTAATGGAATCAAGGACAATATCACCAGTCTGACTTTTAGGTTTTGCAAATGGTTTCCATGCTCTGCCTTCTGTGCATTTTCCCTGACATAGATTCACTTCGAAACATTTCACTGGACAAAAGAATAAGGGGAACACAATTCTATTATTGTGATATGTAAATGCTCATCCTCTGACAAATACCATATCGTGACCGGTAGTACCAGTTAACCCATTCTCCATGCTGATTCTTGCTTCATTTTTAAAAAAATTTCTATTTCAAGTAGCTTGTTCCAAGAAGTTGTGAGGTCGCTGGACTTTCTGCCTCAACTTCACTTAGAATAACTATTTTATAAAGTGAGCTTCTTAGTACCACGTAGTTGGAAAAGGGTCTCACTTCTTACACATGTCACCATTTTGAATTTAACTTACTGCTCTCCATTGTTAATTCCCCTTTAATTAACCTTTCTGGGCTGTAAACTGTAGATTTGTCAATGAGTAATAGTGACAGACAAGTACGTACCAAAAGTATTTGGAACATATGGGCATTCACCCATTTCTCCATCCCCTATGTTTCTAACCATTACTATGAATAATAGATTAGTACCTATGGTGAAAACATCTTGAAAGTAGGAATCAATAAGCTTTTTTGTTTGGGAAAAAATATTGTAACTGTTTAAGCTTGGTAGGCTAGATACATTCCTTGTTTCATAAACTAACACAATATTTTAACAATATAAAAATCATTTTTAGCTAGTCCAGGCAATACTAGTGTACTCAGACAATTACTCTGGTCTTCTTAGCCCAGTGTACAATGTCTTTAGGACATTATATATGGCAGCATTTCTCATGAACCCTAAAAGTCCTTTTACTCTATAGGCCATTCTTGTTTTTCCCTATTGTTCATAATCTTGCAGGACAATTTGCCGACCCAGGAAGTCTAGTGAATGTACTTTTAATCTATCTTCAGCTATAGATTCTGGTGGGGGGAATAGCAGTTATCTGCCTCCAACTCTTTCCCTTGATAAACTTGCTGGGTTTGGCTAGAGATCTGAGAAAATCTATATTTAAATATTTAATTGATTCCAAATGTCCTGAGGAATACTGAAAAAGAACATGTTACTAATCACCCTTCGGGAGCCTGGCCGCACAGACTGCCTTCAGATGTTTCAAAAACCTATGGACAATGGGAAGTTAAATTAGTTACAGGTTAACTTGGAGAAAGGTAGTTAAATCCTAGAGGAAAGTTGGAAGGCATGCTCAGTTTTCTGCAGACAGTAAGGGAGAGATTTTTTCCAGGCCAGCTTAATGCAACCACCAATGGACTTAGCTCTAATAACTGATGCTCCATTCTTTCTGAAAAATGTATTGCTGGGTGCTTATAACATGAAATTTCTAGGCTATTAACCTCCTTTCTAGTACACTGCAGTGCATTTGCTCTCTCATTCTATTATGCTCTTAGGAAGAATGAATTGTATACTATTTATTCATTCACTCATTCATTTAGCAAAAATTTATTAAGTATGTACTAGGTATCAGTATCAATTTTCCTGATGTGCAGAGATGCAAAAGGAAACAAAGCCCAGCCTAATTTGTGTGTGTATGTCTTCTGTGCTTGCTCACTGTTTGCTTGTTTATTAATACAAGTTCATTGTGCTTATAAATAATACAAGGTAACAATCATAATACAAACCAGTGAGATGTGAGTTCAAAGAGAAAGAAAATTGCCATGAAAATTAGGCTGAGGGTTTGTATAATAATAAAGGCAAATCACTAGAAATTACTGTTGAATTAGGCTTCAAACATCTATCATACACTAAAAATAAATAGTTTAAACATTTAAGAGATGTCTATATTTTGGTCCTTTACAAGTGACTTTATATACTGAAGCCACAAAAGCTGGAAATCATAAACTGTACTATTGAACTGAGTATAATGTAAGAAGATGGAATTCTGGGTAAATCTATGCTCTAAAGCCAACAAATATGGCAATTAAACTCTTAGTCTTAGATCAGAAGGTAA